GTTTTTGTTGTCTTCCATGTTTTGCATCCGTAGAGGAGCACAGACTTGACATTGGAATTAAAGAGTCGAATCTTGGTGCGCAGTGAGATGAAAACGAAACTGTGTTTCAGAAATTTCAGGAAGTATTCAATTTCTCATTCTTTCCATTACCTAGAACTAAATAAAAACGAATGGCCAATTGAAGACAAACTAGCGATATGACTGTGAGCGTCTTTTGCCGGTGTGATTCAAGCAGCGAAAGGTTGAGCGATGTGAAATGTGTAACCTTTCTGAGTGAACAATTCTAATGAAAGGGATAAACGACTCTTGCAACACAATGAGGTTATTTAACAGACACGACCATCAAATTTGTTGTCCATCTGTTGATAGGACACATCAAATTAAGGGAACATTCTTGCAAAGTGCCTCTCCTTGAATCCTCAAACCTGCAATGTCACAATTACAAGCCAAGCAGTCAATTCACTAGACCACTGACGTCAGCATTTTTTGTGTGCGACGCTTGTTTGGTGCAGTTTATGACGAAACGACAAACGACGCAAGGCTTTCACGTTCTGACTACTCTCCCTTGGTGCCACTAATCTATTCACCTAAGGCGTTGTGCTGGGAATACATCATGGCTTAGGGCATGTGAAATCTTTCTGTGCAACACCGGCGTTAGCCTTGTACCAAACCAGGACAAGACAGCCGTAAAACACGTTTGTCGATGAGTTCTGGTTAATCACAATAAGATTCAGCCTACCGCAAGAACACAATACAATATAATATATCTAGTTGTGATAATATTGTTATGAGGTGTCCTGTACACTTGTATTTCTTGACCGAGTGCTTTCATGGCACTCTCTTCAATACCTTAGAATTACAATGTTCTGTCTGACAATTTTGGCCGTTTTGAGCTGTTAAGAGCATGAGGACAGAAACCTATAAATGTTATATCTGCTCTATCAAAATCTTAAGATTACTCGGGGTCTTTATCAAGACATTAGACAATGCAATCGAAAAAAATTGACATGTTGTGAAACACATTTGTGAGGCAGCGTGGTGAAATCAGGCGCTCGTCACTGCAACTTTGGGAATTTTTATTGAATTTTTGTATTTTGGCTCTACACCTTTTATGCCCCTTAAAGAAAACATTTCTGTGTGGATTTTACTGAAAAACGTTAATTAAAGGAATAAAAGATGTAATTTTTAAGTTTTCAGGCACTCTCAAGCTAAGGAAATAACAAAACTTTGGGACCATTTTCTCACTAATTTTGTCCCGTGAAGCCAGGCTACCCCTACCTCCTTCAATCGCCAATATCTCAAATTGTAATAAATGAATATTTTTTAAGCAAAAGCAAGGCAAATGGACAGCCTTTAAGATGATACCAATAACTCCACATGCTCAAAAATTGACGAGCGCCTGATTCCACCACGACGTATCTCATTTTTTACGTCAAAAATTTTCAGAACTAGGTACTGAGCAGACAGAATTTTGTGATTCTAGGGTAGCGACCTGCTCTCAACAACAACAACAAAAAAAAAAACCCACACAAAAAAACCCAACTTCCGAAATGTTGACAGTGTGGGCCGTGCCATCACGCCAAAAAGAAGGTCACAACACCAGTCTCCCTACAGTCAGGTACACGCGGCATCTTTCACACCTTGTCCTTAATTTGGCTCAAATTTAGTCAAACGGTGCACTCTACAGTCAACAACAGATGAGTCATATTGCACGGTATAGGATTTAAAAATACATTATTTTTTTATTTTTTAAATTTATTTTTTTTTTTTGGGGGGGGGGGGGGGCGGCTCCTGTGGCGACAAGGTCGTGTTTAGATAAAAAATGGTCCTCTTTGAAAAAAAACCCAACAGTTTATACGGTAGCGAGTAAAAAAATGAAAGAGACTATGTAAATGAGTTAAACAACTTTTATTGTCGTTTCGACTGTTGTAATTTTGAGAATGAGCAACATGAACTTAAACAGAGGCTGAGAGACGAGTTGGGCAAGGAGGACTGTGTTGAGCTCAGTGAGCAGAGTGTTAAAACGAAATAAACGTTCTTAAAAAAGTCGGAAATAAAGCTAAGTGACCACAGCCACCCACTGACATCGGAATTTCAACTGTCGACTCGCAGTAAACGATATATTTTCAAAAAAGCGAGAACCGACAGATATAGAAATTCATAATTTGTACCAACGGCAGTGAGGTTACTAAACACACAGTGCTACAAATGAAACAGAGAGAGAGAGAGAGAGAGAGAGAGAGAGAGAGAGAGAGAGAGAGAGAGAAATGTTTAACGGAGAGGGTTGTCCCAGCACGTGAGACATGTACACGTATTTACTAATGCCCTGTCTTGTTGTGTGTATGCGCGAGCCCATCTAACCTTTGTAACGTCTACGGCCACTGTTTACGACAAGGACAAATGTCTCTCTCTGCGAGATGAATAGAGATCGTCATTGTCAGTGTCGTATAATAATACAAATTGCTCCTTTTTATCTACAAGAACTTATCAGTATATATAAACCAGGGAGAAACCTAAGATCATCAAACGATAACACCCTACTTGTGACACTTGTAAAATCATACAAATCATATGGAGAGAGATCTTTCTCATATCTTGGTCCATTTATGTGGAACAGATTACCCATGAAACTAAAACAAATAAGAACACTTGATAGCTTCAAAAGACATCTTGAACATTTTCTGTTCCTACAGGCCTGTCCTTCATAAGCTTTTAACGTTATCTTTCATTATAGTTGTTCTGTTCCTATGTCTGGATGAAAATAGTCTCTCTCTCTCTCTCTCTCTCTCTCTCTCTCTCTCTCTCTCTCTCTCTCTCTGTGTGTGTGTGTGTGTGTGTGTGTATGTGTGTGTGTATGTGTGTGTGTGTGTGTGTGTGTGCATTAATGTATATTGCATCAGAAGAAAGGAAGTAGTAAGAAAGGTTTTTGAAAAATGGGTATTCCAATGTAAAGCGCATTGAGCTACTTTTTTTGGAAATGCGCTATATAAATGTTATATATTATTATTATTATCAATATTAAGTATATTTGTCGTGACACTGTGGAATCAGGCATTCGTCAACTTTTTTTTTTGGGGGGGGGGCAACATGGAGTTATTGGTATATCTTAAAGCCTGTTCATTTGTTTTTCTTATTTTTGAAAAAAAAGCACCTCTCTTTTTTAATAGAAGTCAAAATATTTGCGATGGAAAAAGGTGGGGGTCGTCCGGTTTAAGAGGTAAAAGTGAGAAAACGGTAGTCAAAAGTTTGGTTACTTCCAAAGCTTGAGTGTCCTAGGAAACTGGAAATTTACATTTTGTTGTGCCTTTAATCTATGCTTATCAACAAAATCCGCACAGAACAAAACCCAAACAGAAATGTGTTTTGAATAGACGTAAAAGGTGTTAATCCAAAAGAAAAATGTGAGGCAGCGTGGTGGCATCAGGCTCTCGTCAATTTTCGGTCATATTGAGTTACAGGTATCATCATAGACAGTGTTCATTTGTCTTGCTTTTAATGGAAAAGTTACCCATCTATCTTCAATAGAAGTGGAAATATTTTGGATTGAAGGAGGTGGGGGGTCACCTGGTTTCAGAGGTAAAATTAGCCTGAAAATGGCCGCAAAAGCTTGGTAAATTCCAAAGCTATAGAGTCCATGGAAACTGTAAATTTATATTTTTGTGCCCTTAATCCACGTTTTTGGGTGAAATCCTCAAAGGAATGTATTTGTAAATGGACATAAAAGGTGTTGCACCAAAAACCAAAAATTTGATAAAAATTGCTAAACAGGGAGAAAACAGCTGTTTTCTTTGATTTCATTATTTTGACGAGAGCCTGATTCCATCACGTTGACTCACAAATCGATAAAAAATTGCTGAACGGGTGGAATAATGTGAGGCAGCGTGGTGGAATCAGGCTCTCGTCAATTTTGGGGCATGTAGAGTTATTGGTATCGTCTTAAAGCTTGTTCATTTGCCTTTATTTGAGTGAAAAATATCCATTTATCTTGAATACAAGTCGAGATATTTGCGAATGAAGGAAGTGGGGGTCACCTGTTTTCAGAGTTAATATTACTGAGAAAATGGCCGCCAAAGATTAGTTTATTTCCTTAGCTTAAGAGTCCGTGGTAACTGAAAATTTACGTTTTTTGTGCCTTTTATCAAAATTTCTCGAGGAAGGCCTACCTCAAGGTTCCTGTCTGAGTTGCACTTTGTTTCTGATCTTCTTTAATGATGTAACGAACGTGCTGAAATCAGAAAAGACTGTTTATGCCGATGATCTTGCTCTCTGGCAGACACATCACAGCACGATAGTAGGAGCAGGGAAATTAAATGAAGGCCTAAAGAGGCTCCATAATTACTGTCAGAAATGGAAACTTAAAATAAACTGCACGAAAACAGTACACACTATCTTCACGAAGAGCCATAAAGCAGCCAAAGAAAATCTCAAACTAAAGATAGGAAATGAAAGTCTCCCCAAAGAAGAACATCCAAATTACCTAGGAGTCAAACTTGACCATAAGCTAACCATGAAAAGCCAAGTGGAGAACATAAGGAACAAGGCTAAAAAAAGACTCCAACTTTTAAAGAAACTCGCAAGCAGTTCATGGGGTTCAGACAAACAAACTCTGAGAGCTCTATACCTGGGTTATGTCCGATCTTCCCTGGAATACAGCAATAGCCTACTCACTATGTGCAGTACAACTACTTGCAACACCCTTGACAAGGTCCAAAACAATGCCCTTCGTTTTATAAATGGCGGCATGAGATCCACACCTACCGCCGCGTGCGAAACCCTAGCAAATGTTGAACCCCTGGGAATCCGCAGAGATAAAGCAGTTTTGGAACTACATGAAAGAACTAAAAGAATGTGCCCCAACCACCCAAATGGGACATTAGTAGA